TACTACTACTATTACTACTACTACTACTATTACTACTACTACTATTACTATTATATTTTCATGAAGGTTCAATAAATAGTTAATGAACATCAAAACAATACAAAGATTAGAATAATTAAAACGCGATACAATAGTATGTTCACCTTTTACCTTTAAAGCGAACAAATGTTTCACCAATCACACACTCAAAGCAGAGATCAAAGTGTAAACAACTATTCGTAAGACTCCACTGACAAGGCCGTTGTTTACGTAAGCTTCCGCGGCTCGAATCCATGAATTTTCGGCTATCCGGGAGACGCCGCGTCGTTGGCTGGGGTGCCGACGTTTCGCCTGACATTTCGCAGGCTTCCTCAGGTAACGACGAAAGCTCATCACTGCCCTAAGTCCCACGTTTCAAATACGACGTGGCGGTTGTACTCTGAAAGGCCACTTAGAAATGAAAAACGAAAGGCGAAAGGAACCCAATGTTGATTAACACATGTTTCGAGACAAGCCAGAGGTTAAGAGAAAGTGAAATATAGAAGGAAAAAATCTGAGGAACCAAATTAAACATTTGTTAATTTAAGAGTTGATTTTCACCAAATTTTTGTTAATCTTGGGAGCATTTATGGTGCTTTCTTAAAGCCATTACTTTGAAATTTCGAGTTTAATGTTCACAATTCAGTATTAAATAATTTTATGCATTATTTGTGAGCATGTGTCACGAGATTAGGACTGTTTCGAAAGTTGTTCTTTTCGAAATTTAGTTTTATAACTTATGAGAACATATACAAAAAATGTACGTTTGCCATCTTTAATACATACCAAAAGAATACGTATACTTGCTTATTGCTTAACACTTAGCTTAATCATTCATATACCATAGATTTTCTTTTCAAAAAAATTGGGATATGGGCACAATAGGACCGTACAAAATGGATTTTACTAAATTAAGCGATATCACATTTCAAACCAAATATTAACCCAGTAAATTACACTTTGAATAAAGATTTCGCAAGGTCACTACAAAATTCAATTGTTTAAAGAAAATATTGCTACATTTAAGGAAGAAAGGAGAAGTACCTACCGAAATTTCAAGTAAGAAAAACGTAGAGAGAGAGGTGCAAGAATAGAATATTTCGTTCAACTACAATATAGGAAGTTGAATTGGTATAAATTCTTAAGAATGTTTACGTAAACAGTGACGTCCAATGCCAGTGCCTCGATGGGAACGGTGGAATTCTGAAGATAACACAGATATCCGACCGCTGTTCCGTGCATTTCGAGGGCTTGGTATTTTGCGTATCTTCCAACCGACAACTGGATGCAGCACAAGGCGATATACCCAGGGGAATTGATGCGTGAGATCTATCCTGAGCCAAGTCATGTATTGTCGACCATACGACCATCCACCCTGTAGTCTAGTTCTTGCCCCCCCCCTTCCCCCCGTGAGGTCCATATATTATTCCCCTCGTGAAACTCCTGTGCGGCCAGCATTACGCATATCACAGGACCGCAGACTTGCAGGTGGGTGTCTAACACTAATACCTATCCCAGACAGACTTCTACGACACAGGGATGCAAATGTTGATTCCAAGATCTCAATTATGGTGTGCAAATTGTTTGGTGCAAAAATAGAGGTGAATTTCGTGCAATGAAGTTTTTCGATGAAATTGTGTTTTCTTTTTGGTGACGTCCTAGGGAATCCTGCTCTCTGAATGCGCCTCGTATTTTGGGTAACAGACGCCTGCAAAATTCTAAATCCTGTAACTCGCCAGTTCCGACAACCCCTCTTGATGATATTGGTTCACTTTCCCTGGAATTCGAAATTATACATTTTCTGATGACACTATATTTGGCACTCCGAAATCAGAACTATTCCAAGGAATCTTTTCCGACGTCTTTCAGACAAGTTTCAAAAATAATAAATAGTGCATGAGAAATAAGAACTAATTACTATTATTACCATCAAGATCACTATTATTACCATCAAGATCACTATTATTACCATCAAGATCACTATTATTACCATCAAGATTACTATAACTGGATCTTTCTCAGCAAAGGCAGCATATCCGCATAGTCTTCTTTAGGAGTCTAAGGGCCCAAATTTTGGATTGATGTGTCAGGGCGGGTCAACTGCTATAGTTATTGGTCCCATGCGCGCTGTGTCTAAGAGGATAGGGTAAGGCGAGGAAGGAAAGATGGCGCAATGACCGTATTCCATTTATTACGAGTGCTCCGGCATCCGACTGGTATTGATCGGAGAAACCATGGAACCACCGATCAGATTACCCGGTGACTAGAATTCTCAACCAAACAGCGGCTGATTTCAACCTAGCTAATTAGCTGAAGAGCCCGGAAATCATCCAATATAGGGGGACAAGCACACTGAGGTTTCCCGGTCAGACACGCTGTAATAGCCTGAGCTATAGAGTTACTCTAAGAAGGGATAAATTTGATAGGTCGGAAAACAAATGAACTTTATGCAGGGCGATGACATTGCAACAGATAGTGATGTAGCCATTTGCAAATGAATAAACTGTAAACGAACGCTCCGACAAAATGAGTGCACTGACCTTACCTGCAATTATGATACCAGCAATGGCCAAGCAAAATTGTCAAAGCGGTCCCTTTTTATAGTGATCTCTTTATAACTCTGAAGGACCCAATTTTGGAGGTGGTCGAGAAGAGCGTTTGGCCACTTGGCATCCGCTCCACGATGACATCCTGAGTGCGCTTGGAAAGCCTTTCCCTCTCCCCGCTTGCGCCCCGCCCCCGCGCCCCCCCCCGTCCGGTGGAAGCGAACCGACCCCCCGAGAACGCGCAGCTTCAGCTTGGATTATCCATCGGTTTTTATTCAACCTTCCTGAAAAAAAATAGTAATGACTTAATACCATGATGACTAAAATCGATTTTCTTTCTTCTTTCCCTTCAGCCTCAGAATACAGAAAGAGACAAGTTCCTTCCGGGACTTGCAGAACTTCAGAACGTCTGACCTGTGGTATAGTAACTCTTCGTAACTTGGTCCAGTCTACAAATACGTATTCCTCAACTAGGATACAGCGATCTCTTTTCAGCAATTTTAAATTTCATCATTCCTCTCAAGATTATCTGAGGAA